AAAAATCCCTGTTGAATCAGGGGTATATCAGTGGGCTTATAGCGCTAAAAATCGGGTTTTGTTACCTGCAGTGGGCAGAGCACAGACAGTCCATTGTGTAGCTTTGAGCTTAACAACAAATAAACAAGCTAATTACTATTAAAAATTACAATGTACAACTATTGTTTAAAAGTTTGATAGGATAAATACGTCATCACTCTCGCTCATAACTCAACCATCATGCAGTTTTGTTTTCACCTGAAAAAACAAGTTACGCAAAAACGAATATCGTTTATATTACAAACCTAATGCCTTCAAAAATGTTTAGTTTAAATCTTCTGAAAAAAAGAACATTACAACATATTAATACAAACATCAGTGTTTTTTAGAAATCATAAGTAAATACGTATGTCAATATTATTTTGGTTTTCCAAAATTTCTTACAACGGAAGCAGAGGTTCCTAGCGAGTACAAAGAAAACAAGAGCAATCTGAGAGATTGCATAACCTCTCCCCGCCGCTCCGTTTCGCTATTGCATGCGTTTATATTGGAAAACGTCGAATTTCACCTTCGAAAATTCAGAAAATCCTTCTCAGATCCAGAATGCTCAACGATCCGGATCATTGTTTAGTGTGATGAGGAGTCTCAACCGTAATGTGCCCAAATCAAATCACATTTTACAGAGTTATTAATTCGAAACTGCCCTATCTCCCCATTATAAAAAAAAATGCTTCAAAGTGATCCAGATTTGGATCGGTAACAAATTTGAGGAGGACTGTCCCATTTGACTTCCCATCTTGTGTAGAATGTACATCGGTCTATTAGTTTTCGAGATATGCGCGCGGAAACACAGACAGACACGGCCCGATTGCAATACCCTCGCCCCACCCCCTCCGGGAGAGAGGGTAACTATCACTCAGGGTTTGTAATTCTAACTACTACATATTTTCAGTACATTAAGGAGCGCTGAAACAAATACTGCAATATTATCAAAGAACGAGCTGGTGTAAAGCTTTATTTTGTTTGTTTTGAATTTCGCGCAAAGCTACACAAGGGCTATCTGTGCTAACCGTCCTAGTTGTGAAGTGATACACTAAACTGGAAAGCTTTTGTCTTGGTTTCTCTGGAATTTCGCGCAAAACTACACGAGGCCTATTTGCGTTAGCCGTCTGTAATTTAGCAGTAATAGACTAGAGGAAAGGCAGCTAATCAACACCACCCACCGTCAACTCTTGGGCTACTTTTTTACCAACGAATAGTGGGATTGACCGTCACATTATGTAGTCCCCACGATTGAAAGGGCGAGCATTTTTGGTATGATGAGGATTCGAACTCGCGACCCGAAGATTACTAGTCAAGCGCCTTAACCACCGGGCTTAGAGGGAAGGCAAGCTAGTCAACACCATCCACCGCCAACTCTTGGGTTACTCTTTATTAACGAATGATAGTATTGACCGTCATATTATAACGTCCCAACCACTGAAAGGGGCGAGCATGTTCGGGGACGAGATTCGAACCCGCGACAGTTAGATTGCGAGTCAAGTGCCCTAGCTACCAGGCCATGTCACACGTATCTTATCAATAATTCCAATGTTTGTTTCGAAAATTCGCTCAAAATTGTCTCTAATTTTCAAATGATACACCAGAGAGAATGCAGCTAGTCAACAACACCCACCTCTAACTCTTGGACTACCCTAATAGAATAATGGGATTTGACCATCACACTTGTAAAATGCTCACAACTCCAAACTGTATAGCGCGTTTTAATAGCAACCGAACGAGAACCATACATCCTCGGATTCACAGTCTGGCACGTTAAACACCAGTCAAACAATTTAAATAATTGAAACGTTTGACTTCAATCATCTACCAGTCATTCTAGATGCTAATAAAATTAAAACTAAAGAAAAGTTTAGTATTTTACTAGTTCCAGTAAACCACACTTTGTATTAATAATGGATATTAGAATATAAATATTTTTGTTCATTATGATAAAAACATTTAATGAGAAATTTCATGCATTTTCAGATTACTTCAAATACAGTTTTTTGGGGGGCGAGGGGACCGTGATAGAATCTGAATTCCTGAGCTGGTGAACGGGGTGTTCAGATCCGTGCAATACCACACAGTATTCCCACTCACACACTGGGTGCGTTATCGAAATGGTCATAGACGTGGTGAGCGGAGTTCAAGTAGCTGGAATCAGCTACGTAGCTAGGATTGTTTCTCTTGCACCATGACTGAAAGCAGATGCGTGGCTGCCAGAACATCTGGAGTCGTTGGTTGATGATTTTGCAAACAGTCTAGACTCAACACAGTGAAAAGAGCTCAGAAAACTGCTGTATAAGTAAGCCAATGTGTTTGTGAGGCCAGGTAGCCATTTGGGTTGGACAATAGTAACTTGACACCAAATAGATAC